AAAAAAGAAGAAGTCAATTCTCACATGGAAGGACGTAGTTAGGAATAATATCTAGACTATAATTTTAGGTGGTCTCCTATGGGGAGTCCTATATAACTAGATAAAACAAGTAGTACCTACTACTACCTCCGATCCATAATAAGTGCCACAATTTTAAACTAATGCTCGGGGGTGGGGGGAGGGGGGCATTCACAGTATATCATAATTATCGTAGTCATGTCAGCACTAAATACGTTTGTTGGTTTGCTTGTGTTTTTCCCATGATTTAGTGGGTTTCATAGTTCCAGCAAACATCCAATTTCGTATTGGTGTTTGTACCATTTTTATTTCCGTCCATATTTGTTTCTACGGTTTTCTAAAAAAAATCTTCCAAATAATATGAAAAAAACTACCCTGTTTCATCCTTTTTTTGATCTCTACCCCTACTCATCGAACCACTACTTGGTAATTAGCTTATTTATAGTAGTGAAGTATATGCACAATTATATTTAAATATATATCACTAGAAATAAGTGCGCACGCATAATTGAGATCTCATCATTGGCAAAAAAAGAAGATTAAGATCTCATCATGGGGCGGTGCTAATCCACCACTTCTGCGGAACAATGCTAATCCACCACCTCTGCCATCACTATTCACAACACTAAAACCTTTTAAACCCAACCTTCATCAAAGTTTCTCCGTCTTATCTCTAGCTTGATGTGTCTTACAGAGGAAGACGGGCTTGAGGCAATTGGTTTTTGAGAGGGCCAACACCTCGCGAACTGTGCCTATTCCCCCGGCAGTTCCAAAATAGGAGATTCACTGATCCTCGCGGCGCCCTTCCTCGGAGCCCGCCAAATTAGCTTAACCATCCACATTCGATTTTTGTATAGGTGTTTTCACCATATTTATTTCCGTCCATTTTTCTTTCAAGTTTTCTAAATTCTTTTTATGTTCCAAAAAATGAAAAAGAAATGTAGTAGTAACACTCAGTTTCATCTTTTTTTAATCCCTACCCCTAATCACCCAGCCACTCTCGTAGTTAGCTTATTTGGAGTAGTGAAGGGTATGCACAACTATATTTAAATATATATTATAGAAAAATAAGTGTTCAAGTATAATTGATACCTCATCATTGGCAAAAAAAAGAGTTTTTTTAAAAAATGCAACAAGAAGAGATTAAGATCTGATCATGCAAAGCATGAATGCAACGAACGTCTTCAACGACTGATTTTGCTCGCTTAATGCGCATATATCCCTTTCTTTAAGCATCGGAGAAAGAAGGGCAGGAGGTCGCTTTCTCGCATGTCGGGGGCTTGCTTTCGGTTGCCTGATGTGCTCCTCCGCACCCGCGCGTTGATGCATCCACGTCGCGCGTCCTCTCGTCGACCTCTTTGCCTATATACCACACAGATCATCACCGGCCGATGCACCCGCCGACCTCTCTTCTCCATCATACCACGCACTAACACCGATCGACACACGCCGAGGCGCAAAAAGGATTCCATGATCGCTATTGCCGGCGCTGTGGTCGCCGGTGTGGCAGCCGCGGCCACGGCGGGGATTCTTGCCTTGGCGTCGTCGCGCGGCGACCGGCCCGAGGATGCCACGAGCGCCGTGGCGGCGGCGGCTGTGCCCCAGGAGTGCGCGGTGTGCCTGTCGGAGCTGGTCGGAGCGGCGGAATTCTCCGGCGACTCTGAGCCATCGGCGGTGCCGGTACGCGTGCTGCCGGGCTGTGGGCACTGGTTCCACGACGAGTGCATCGGCAAGTGGCTGCTGCTGCGCCCAGAGTGCCCGCTGTGCCGCTGCCCCGTGGTCACCGCGGACAGTCGGCTAGGCAGGAAGGCCGTGGTGCCTGCCGTGCCGCTGGCGGAGGCCGCGCCTGCCTTGTCGCGGCCGGCTAGGATCGCGTGCGGCTTCGGCGACGGGAGGGTCCTGTGGACGCGTAGCCCACCCGTGGCATTGTAAACGGCCGTGTGAGGAAGGTCATCTGATTACTTGAGGATTAGTGAAACCAAAGTGGAACGAGTGCTTCAAGATTTCACATTACCCTTGGTTGAGGGTGTGGAATCGGATTCATATGTGTCTATCATCATTGCTTTGTCCTCGTTTCATGTGCAAAATACTTGCGGATATTTCATACGTATTTACTCGAGAGCTTGTCACTTTATCACACGGGTGAATCGTAGGCTTCCTTTTTAAATAAAAGGGTCCGAATAACTGCCACACGTGTGGCGTCGATAGGAACCCGCCTGCACGCCTCGTGCGGCATAGACGGGGATCGGCCCGCACGACCACGTCCGAGCGCACAAAAGCACGGCCCGCACGTCCGGTGTGTGGCAACCCCGCCCGCACTGCCCCGTCCGGGCCAGAAGACCGGCTGCCCGCACGACCCAGCCGATCCACGCCTCCGATCCATCCCCTCTCTCGTACGCCGCCATCGTCCCCCACCTCTCGAACCCCGACATCCGTCGTCGGCCATCCCTGGTTGCCATGGCAACCAGGGCAGATCCGTAGGGCGCTCCGACCCCAAACCACACCCTAACCCTTCCCATCCCCAGCCGCCCACTCCAATCCAGCCCTCCAGACACGATCAACTAAAACCAGGTGAAAATTCTCGATCTCGTCCTTCCCTCTCATCCTTAAGGCTGAAAATCTCCCGATCTTGTACTGGGTCCATACTATAGGGGTAGAAACACTGCATGATTCGCTGTATATTCGCAATTGCCAGGCAGAATACACCAGATCTGCCATGTACTACGTTTGAGGTTAACTTAGGTGCCTAGTTTAGGCACTTAAGTAGTTGGGTATGAAATGGATGAGTAAGAATCCCTAAAAAAGGGCAGGAAGGACGATTTTTTGAATGAAGAGGGTGGGAAAAAATAATTGCCACTTGTGTGTAACGACAGTTGCCGCTTGTGTATGATGACAATTGCCACCTATTTTGACCTGTTGCTTGCCATCCCTATCTTCCATGTGCAAGCAGCAGAAGAATACAATTCTTGTGGATTATTGATGCCTTTTTGATCATCCAGTGATTGAGAACATGTCGGAAAAGAATCGAGACGCGGAAAGGATGAATCGTGAAGGTGGCGCTGATGCTTGGGGTTCTCAAAGGCCAGAAACACCGCCTTGGGATGCAGCAGAGTATAATCAACTCATCTCTGCACGGCCGTTGCTGCCACTACTAGAACAGTATGCAGGCGTAGGTATGATGCGTGGTAACAAAAAGAAGAGAGCAGTTGCCAACTTCGCAACGATGAAGATGACATTCTACTTATGTCCTACACTCCCATTTTTTTGCAGGTTCTTATGACCAAAACACTCTCAGGGGGGCCCCATGGCAAGTTCAGTCACAAGGCGCTAACACTGACATATGTACGGGCAACCAACCTCAACTAGCTAGTATGGCTAACCAAGGTAATGCAAAACCAAAAAAAACACATACTGCTGTGGACGTGAAAAATGGACATGCAAAAAAACTGGCAAGAGGACTCACGAGTTATCACGGGTGAAAATGGAGGGCCTTCATGCAGCACGTGGCATCAGCCAGCACCCATGTACCTGCCATCGACGTCATACACAGGTCAGTCCATAAAAAAGTGAAGTTGCGGATGTTCAATTAGCAGAAGGGGCATAGTTGGCAGCTCCAAATTGCCATGACTGGACTTCTACAATTGCCACGAATTTAAAACTACATTTGCCATCCCTGGACAACTGTTGTTGCCATCAATGGACACTTGCAGTTGCCATGGAGAAACAACTGCAGTTGCCATGCCAGAGCAACTACAGTTGCCATGTCATCGCAACTGCAGTTGCCATGGAGGAACAACTACGGTTGCCATGCCGATGCAACTATAGTTGCCATGCCAGTAAAACTGCAGTTGCCACATCAGGGGCGACTGCAGTTGCCATGCTAGCACAAACTGCAAATTGCCATGAATTGACCAACCACTACTATGCTTATAGCGTATTACGCTGGTGGTGACACGGCAAACATCCCGTGGCAAGCTTCACAAATTGCAGGTGGAGCACGACATTTTGGTGTCACAGACCACACAAGATGGCCAAATGCAGCACAACAAGGTAAGGAAAAAAATTGAACCACAAAAAACATCACTACATTTGTTGTTTATAGTTTTTTGTAGGCAAAACAATAGTTGCCATGTTTGTTGAACAGTACCTGCCATGACTGGACAGCTACAGCTGCCACACATGTCCACACGCAGTCTCACGGCTTGCTGTTTGAAAATATGTCGTGCCAAATCAATCGAAGATGGTGTGATCCGTTGTGATACACATCTTATTCAACCAACTCGTGCTTGTTTTTTCTATTACAGAACCTACAACTACAGTGAACAGCGGTGCGGGGACATCTACTGCGGGGAGCTCTGAGCGCACGGAAGACGCGTTCCACCAGCCAGCAGACTGTCATGCCGCAAACAATTTCGAGTCAGAGTCGGGAATGGCAATCATTCCAGCAATGCCGACGAGCACCCCTTTGAACACAAGCACTAGCAACACTCGAGTAGATAGAACTGTCGCCGATACTGAAGCGAATGATGAAACTGACGACAGCGCACAAGAGGATGAAGATGGTGGGCAATCCGAGATCGTGGTACCTCAGCCACCATACATTGGGCAAAGATTTGGATCGTTCGCAGAACCAAAGGAATACTACCAGGCATACGCAAAGTTCCATGGATTTGCGGTCAACACCGAGTACCATAGGAAAATTAAGAAAACTAATGAGTACAGCAGAGGTGAGATGAGGTGCCACAAGGCACGGAGGAACAAGAAGGGGAAAGGTGTTGCGCCTGTCGTTCCGGAACGAAAGAGAGGCATCATTCTCAAGACGGGGTGCCCTGTCCGGTGTAAGCTAAACGTAGATGGAGCAACATGGGTGGTCAATGAGTATTTTGACGAGCACAACCACGAACTCATAAAGAAGTTCGACCTGGTGAAATTTCTGACCGCCCACAGAGGGTTCACCCCCGTCGAAAGGAAATTCGTAAAGCTGCTACATGATTGTAACGTCGGTCCATCAAGAATGGTACAGATACTATCTCTCATCCACAGCAAAAAGGGGACTCTGAGTAGCATGCCGTACATACCAGCTGACGTCACAAACCTACAGGCCAAGTACCGTAGAGAGAGCAAGTTGGCAGACATAGAGGCCACAATAGCCTACTTCGATGCGAAAGCAAAGGAAGATCCATATTTCTTCTACAGGATAAGGTTGGACGATGAGGACCGTGTCAGGAACATGTATTGGGTGGATGGTGCTGCAAGGAGAGCCTACAAACATTTCCGAGATTGCATTTCATTCGACGCGACGTACCTCACCAATATGTACAAGATGCCATGCGCTCCGTTCATAGGAATAAATAACCACAATCAGTCGTTGCAGTTCGGATGCGGCCTCGTCCGGAACGAAGACACAAATGGGTACGTTTGGCTGTTCAAGACCTTCTTGGAGTGCATGGATGGACTTGCTCCGATGAACATAATAACGGACCAAGATTTCAGCATGCGTGCAGGCATAGAGGAGGTCTTTCCGTTGGCAGTGCACAGGCACTGCAGGTGGCACATTATAAAGAAGGCTGAGGAGACGCTAGGACCGTTCTTTGCCGACCGTCCAGAGCTGCACAAGGCATTCGAGCTGTGCGTGGACCACAGCTTGACGGTGGAGGAGTTTGAAAGGAGCTGGATGGCCATGACTGAAGCACATCAAGTCCAGGACAACGAGACTCTTGTTAGCCTGTGGGAGAAGCGAATGTACTAGGTGCCGGCCTACTTCATGCAGTGCTTCTTCCCCTTTCTGCAGACTATGCAGCGCAGCGAGGGGTTCAATGCTGTTTTAAAGCGGTACGTCAGCCCTGGCAACTCATTGCTACGGTTTGCCAAGCAGTACACAACTTTGCAACAAAAAATTCTGGGATCTGAGCTACAGCAAGAAGCGACCACAGCCCTAAAGCAGCCAAAATTGCTAACGTATTTACCGATGGAGAGGCAAATGAGCAAGATATACACCAACAAGATCTTTAACAAGTAAGTCAGTTGCATTACAGTCTTATTTGCATAAAAAGCACCAAGTCAGTAGGGGCCTTATAAAGTGCAATGCAGTTGCCATGACATGCAACTGCCATGTTTAATGAAATACTGTTTGCCATGCTTACTCAGATGCAGTTGCCATGTTAAAATGAAAATTTTGTTTTGGCATACTTGCTCGGGTGCATTTCCCTTGTTGAATGAAGTGCAGTTGCCATGTTTTATGCGCTGTGCTTCCATTGGAGCATGTTGGCATGCAAATGCCAATGTCAAAAAATGCTAAAAAAATGTTATATTGGCGACACATATGCTGAAATGCAGTTGCCATGTTTAATGAAATGCATCTGCCCTTTTTTTTGAAATGCAATTGACATGTTTACTCAGCTGTAGATGCCATGTTTAATAAAAATGCAGTTGCCATGTTTTATGCAATGTGCTTCCATTGGGGAATGTTGGTGTGGAAATGACGATATCCAGTTGAAAATGTACTGCAATTGCCATGTCTGTTGTACTGCAATTGCCATGTATGTTGTAATGCATTTGCCATGTGTAGTGTACTGCATTTGCCATGTTCAACGTAATATATTTGCCATGTTCAATGAACTATGTTTGCCATGTTCAAACAAAATGTATTTCTATTTCCATGACAACATAAGGGTGTACAAGAAAAAGATCGCACGAAAGTTTAACAGAAAACACACAAAACTTGCAGATTCCAGGAAGAAATAAAGCGTGCCAGCATGTTCACGGCTTTCCGGGTGGACGAACATACGTTCAAGGTGTGTTCTATTTTGGGCATGTCAGATTAAGAACCTGAAGACGCGGACAAAGGAAGGAACTACTTCGTCAGAGCCTCGATAGGCGAAGGCGAGTACTACTGCCAATGCTGCAAATTCGAATGGGACGGCATTGTGTGC